CTAGTCCCAAATGCGTGAGCAAGTAAATTGCTCAGTTATTTGTTGTTCGATTCACAAAGGATAACTCGGTATCAGATCACTGCCGATCGTCTTCGAATTTTTGAAATTTTGATCCGCTTCTACTTAAATACGTCGGTTTCAGCAGCAGGTTCCGAATTTCTTTCTACGCAATAAAACCTGTATACACACTTCTGTAAAAGCGCTAATTCTAATATCTTACTTCATGGTTGAAAGCGTTATTAATTCATTGTGGAGTGAGTCGGTTGCCAGATAATTTAGTGTAATCTTTTGGACGTTCGTACAGATCGAGGAATTTCACACTAGTCTGAAAGGTCCCAACATACGGCCCGGTATTCGAAGATAGGGTGAAAAAAGGAATTGTATTCCATTAACAATTGAGCTTATCAAAGTTAGCATTATAATGTATGCAAAAGAACGCTTCCAAATGCATTATGCACAATAAAATAATTAAAAAAAAACAGATTTCACCTGCTCGGCGACGGCAGCAAGCTGAACAAACCACCAGCCCCAAAAACACAGAACTAAGCAGACGTCCAAAGTTGATTTAGTAGTCAGCAACCAATCGTCATTGATGCGCCTCCACGAAAGCTGAGCGCGAACCGGAAGGAGTGGGGGAAAGACAGGGCGCGACCGCGGCGGCGAGGACGCTGAAATGAAAAGTGCAAGCGGGCACGGGCGGTCCCGCACACAGTGCACGGGCGACCACGGACGAGACGGCAGCGCCAGGCAGAACCTCGCAGGGTGAACGTCAGGTGTGTCGGAACTCCGTTCCTCACGCACAGAAACGTCATTACTGCAACATCTCTCCACACAACAGCGGCGCCGGCGAAGAGATACCGCACACTTTTACTTTCGCATCGGCCGCCGCCGTCGCCGCCGCCAGCGCATGTAGAGGCCGTGCCAAACGTGTGAGGAGTCGGCGAGCAATCGGCACGCGTGCGCACAGACCACGCGCTGTGGCAAAGAGCAACGCAACAGTTTCCGACAGTGATTCAGGTAAGTCCGCGTGGAACTACCACGTTCTGGCGCAAGGAACTCTCGCTGTATTAGAGGGTTTCGAGCAATGAGTTGTAGGGACAGAGATTACATGTTTCGTTGATTTATTGTTTTCCCTCTCTGAATTGAATTGTGAATAGGAATGATTTTTCTGTGAGTTACAAATTTTAGTTCTGTACTGTCCATAACATCAAACAGCAATTTCATTAAATTATTTATTATTACTTTTTCTTTAAAACCTATTTTCATTATACGCGAAGACTTTGGTTTATGCCAGTATTAAACACAGTATGCTGGTTAGCAATGTAATTCAAGCCAAATATCAAGTATAAGTTTTGAAATTATTATCTGGAGATTCGTTCATTGAGTTTATAAAGCTCAGAAAATAATTTTATCACATATTTTCTTTGGTGATACAAGTGTTTTAATATTGACGACCAATATTTTGTTAAACCTTATGATTCAAATTAAATTAAAACTTCAGAAAACTACGTTAAATCTGATCAATGAAAGGAAACAGTATTTGTAAATTTACTGCTAATTTATATTTTTATAATTAAATATTCAGAAAATTGGTTCTGATAGTGAAAATTGTACAGTGTTTATCTTATATAATTATTGAGATTTAAAGTCTAGGTTGTGATGTTTCTTGAGTCGTTCAAAATTTTCACATCTCCCAGAAGAAAAATGGCTAAGGAGTTGGGTAAGACCCGCTTAATAATTGATCATTATCTCTTATCATTCTTCAAGAAACCTATTTTTAAGCCAGTTTTAAGCATTGTATGATGGTTAGCAATGTAATTCAAGCAAATATCACTTATGTGTTTCAAAATTATTTTTGCGTTTCGTTTATTGAATTTATAAAACTTAGGAAATAGTTCTATCAAAACTATTTACTTGTTAATACACGTTTTATAGTATTGGCCACCAATATGATATTTTGTAAACCCTTATAATTCAAATTAAGATGTTAACGTCTGAGAACTACATTGATTCTGATCAATGAAAGGAGACAATATTTTTTACATTGTATTTACTACTAATTTAGAATCTACTTTTAACTTAAACATTGAGATAATAAGTTTGAAGATATGGACATTACACATTGTACAGTGTTTATCTTATACAATTATTTGGATTAAAACGGCAAGACCAGGTTGCGATGTTTCATGAGACGTTCAAGATTTTCACTACCTCCCTGAAGAAAAATGCTACGTTGTTGGATCAGACCCGCTTGACATTTGGTGTCGCGTTGAAGAAAGTTCCACAGAAGGTACACATCTAAAGGCTTTCTGTTAGACGTCCGATTCCATCATCAATATCGTGTGCATTTATTAATGGAACATTTGCTAAATGTCTACTGTTTATGAATTCACGAAACTTTTTCTAGTGTGTATATACATGATATAGTTTTGGTGGCAAAGAACGTTACAGTAATATAGAGCTGGTGGTTAAAATTTCAGATATATCATCCGAAATTAGAAAGTAGATTATTTTTATTTGCATTCTATCTGTGGCAATAACTTTTGTAACAAAGAAGTCCAGGTGGCAAGGAATATTATTAACGACTGATGGCCAATCGTCGGCCCTCCAGTAGATACTGTAGTAAGATTGTTACTTTCATTACATTTATAAAAATTGGCGACCTTTCGTAGTATCACGTCGGGAGTCCTAGTGGTTGTGCTTTCATAAAAACAGTTTGGATTATAACTGTCCTCCATGTTTCTGGAAGATCGGGAATCGACACTGCTGTTAAACAAATGCAGAATTCACTCTGTAACTATGTTCCTCAATTTCGAAGTAAATTTTGTCATAATGCCGTTCCCTTCGCCTTATTTGTTACTATACGGGTTTGTAATAGTCACTTCACTCCACGTTATAGGTTCGCCTAATTCAGGCACACTCTTTTAGTTGTTACTCGAAGATAAGGTCCTATGGCCTGTGCCTCACTAATGATAAACACCTTTATTATTTTTATGATTATTATGATTATTACTAATATTTTCATTATTATTATTATTCAATGAAAATATCTGCCCCTGTTTCAAAGGCCACTGTTGCGAGTATCCGTAAAAAATACTGTACGCAAGAGTCTGCTGAAATTACGTTACGTGCATTTAGTTTAATATGCAGAGATCAGATAATTTCCCAAATCGGTTTTACTCTGATCATTCTGTACAGTCGCCTTCATTCTTGCTGTCTCACTTTCCTGGCAAGATTTCTTCGATTTCTTAATCGTGGCCTCATACTGCCTACTAATAACAAGTAACTATTTCCCTCTTCAACAGCTCCCACGCTTCTAAACTTCTTTAAGGATACTATTGCTTCACGCCTGCTTTCCGCTAAACAGCACGCCTCACTAAACCATCCATAGGTCAGCACACTTCCTTCTCTCCACTATTTGTGCATTATAGAGAGCGGTAGCACCGCCTTTAACGTCTTCCTAATGACAGGATGTCTGGTGTCCATCCGGCCGAGATAAGAACAGACTTATCCAGTTGCTTTTCCACCTTCCACGCAAACTATTGTCTTGCAACTGTTAAGGCCATAGCACTCCCCAGCTTCACTGCCGTTTACCTAACAATAGCAGTTATTGTTAATTAAAACACTCGGGCAAATGGCGGTATTCGGCCAGCAATTTGTTCACAAAATCGATTAAATTGTTTGTTCTCTCAGGATATAGTAGAGCACAATTCATTACAGTACCTCCATTCTAAAAATATACAACATATAGAACCAGTGATGCTACAAAAAGGCACACGTTTTATCATACTTGTTAGTTTCCCAATTTCTTTGGTCGGGCAACGTTGTCGGTTTTGCCTCATCGTCGTCCCAGCTACCATCTATCGCCCCCCAAGTAGCAATTTTTTCACTTTTTCTCAACTTTTCGGCCATCCTAATGATATAATGATGGAAATACCTAGTAAATATTGAATAAAAGTTCAACCTCTTAATACATGGAATTTTTTGTTGAAAAAATTGAGGTATTTTATAGTTATTATTTCGATAATGATTTTCTGTCAATGTGAAATTTTAAATCAAAGCCAAGCCAGAAAAAAATATTCTGAATTATTTTGATATGATTTCATTTCGAAAACTAGTGGAGCAACAATAATACATAATATTTCGCTTTATTTGCAACTGCTCTGTATTATTATACTGCTACATGTACATGCAAAAGTGATTTCAATCAGGAATGTTTCTTTTACGTGCTGAGACGCGGACTCAGGTCTTCCGAGTTGACTCGCCGAGCGCCGTACCTGTACACCAAGACAGCTTGCCAAGGCAGACCGACTTCGAAAATCTACTTGTCACACCACAATCTTTCCAACACCCAATTTTCGAATATTAAGAGAAATGAAATAAAATTATATGAAATATAAGCGATATATAAAAACAAGATGTTCTCGAAAAAGTTCCAAATTTTTCCTTTAAACGGTTTGAGCGAAGGGCTGATAAATGCACACTGAATATAAACTCCATTTTGAAGTATTCTTATAATGCTTCAAGTAGTACACACTGACTTTTAAGAATCTATCACAATTTCAAAAGAAAAATTATTTACAATAAGGGCATTTCTTAAAAATAACCGAGTTAGTGAGTACAATTGCGTAAAATAATTTCTTATTAAGTTATTTAAAAACGAAAATTTGGGTTTAAAATAATATTCAAAATAAGCATATTCAATAACGACCAAAAAGTGTTGACATAACGATGTCTCCAAATTATCCCCCAAAAAATCATATATAGGTCCCTTTTCTAATACAAAAATGTATCTTCCATACCTATTAGAAAGTCGAAAAATTGAGCAAACATGAAAAAATTACGTTTAAAAGTTCATACATGACAGCTGAGAAGACCGTGGGAACAGAGAAGAAGGCCCAGACTAAAGAAAAGAAAACTAGGAAAGTACATAGTAAGAGAGATCCTCTATCAGTTCAGTAGGACCACCAGTTATTATCGCGTTGCAGCCCTTGGGGGAGATGCGGTGGGCTGTACTTGGAGTGCTGTCGCTGCTGTGCGCGACGGGCTCGGCGCAGGGCCTGTGGTGGGGGCTCGTGCCCAGCCCCACGCGCCTCAACATCGTCAACGCGCTCACCGACTTCGTGCCGGCCGTCTTCCACATGCAGCGCCGCCTGGTGCGCGAGCCCGTGGACAGCGGCCATCGCAAGGAGTTCGACTTCGTGGTGGTGGGCGCGGGCGCGGCGGGCAGCGCGCTGGCCACGCGCCTCGCCGAGGTGGGCGACTGGAGCGTGCTGCTGCTGGAGGCGGGCGGGGAGGAGGTGCCCGTCATGACCATCCCGTTCCTGCTGGGCCAGTTCCACCACACCGACGCCAACTGGCAGTTCCTCACCACGCGCCAGAACACGTCCTGCGCGGAGCTCGAGGACTCGCGCTGCGACTACCCGCAGGTGGGGCGATTGATTAACTGCGTCAACTGCTAAGGTCATTAGTCTCGTAAGAGTAGTGCACGGGTTTTCCTCGGGAGATTTCTGTGATTATCCCAACTGGATGTTGAAATACGATGTTGACCACACGTGGGTTGATTGACTATTTTTTTTTTACCCTTTGCACTTGAGCGTATTTTAGTTACACCTTCCTACGGCCAGACAGGATTAGAACACCTCCTCCTATATCTGTCATTTTCCGTCTTTACCAACTTTCAGGGAATTCTGTACAAGTTTTTACCTGCGTGACAAAATATATTTCGGATATGCGTAAGTATATTTCGGAGGTACATATGTGTATTACTAATACCCAATGCGCGCGGATATTTGTTTGAAATTTATTTCTTCTCGTTTAATCTAAGGTCTTTCGATGGTTTTTTAATTTTACATGCTGACTTTTTTGGGGATTTAGGCATTCTTTGACAAATTGATGTTAAATACACTGGCTCATTTAATTGATTTGTTTTCTTCGAGAAGCTACTGAAATTTAATCTTAGTGCAATAGGAAGGGAAACGTGAGAGATTCTACAGAGATACGGGATGGTATTGTAAGTTTAGGGAGGTGTAAGCATATCTTCGGAAATTTAGATTTGATTCGACTTCGGTTGTTTGCTGTTCGGCCGAGGTGGAATTTCAGAGCGGGATGAGATGAGAGAAATGAGGAATATAAATTATTTACTACTATTTTTATATATTCTTTCACGGTTTCAATTTGAATCCTGTGAATTTGAGGGTTAGATATAAACTATGTAGTTTTAATTGACTTCCTCAGAACTTTATTATGAACGCTTTTCATTAAGGTGAGAGAAGCAACATTTCCCCACACTGGGCAAGCATAAGTTAGTGTGGGTAGGATAATAGATTTATATAATAGAATCTGGCATTTGGTATTTAGTGTTGATTTTTTAAAGGGTATAGCCTTGATATGTTGGCATTGTATTTGTTGATAGCTGCATAAATATGGGGTTCCCAAGAAAGTTTTTCGGCTTACAATACTCCAAGATAGTCCAAGATTGCCTTGATTGGATCACTTTTCCAACGAATTTCTCTGTCATATATTTTCAGATAGGGAGGGTTTTGAGGTCTTCTAAGGGTAAATATCTTAGTCTGGCCTAGTGAGGATTGATTGCCATTCTCCATTTTTTGTCTATTGCATTAGGATATTAAGGTTATTCTGGACTCTATTGTATTCCAGGTTAATATATGAACTTGAAGAAAACAGTGCAGCAAAAAGAGCAGTTTCCACGTTGGAATTATTGGGTAGTCACTCACAAAGATATTAAATAAAATAGGTTAGAGAACTGAGTCTTAAGGAACCCCAACTGTGATATTACGAAGATTAGAAAATGAGTGATTAATTTTGACCTTACATTTTCTGTCAGAGATGAATCCTTAAATAATGTTATGAATATACTCAGGGACTCCGAGTTGTCCTATTTTACATAAAAGACAGGTATGCCGAACCGATATGTCTTACGCTTGTGCAAGATCTACAAATGCAACTAGAGTATGCTTTTTCTCTTGGAAGCTCTGTGCAATATACTCAGAAGCCTTAGCAGCAGGTGTGTGCAGGAGTGCGCCGAGATGTAGAGAAAATTGCAGTGTGCGTCCTTTTAAAAGGTGACTGCGGTTCCGTCACAAACACGGAAACTCGGGAAATACAAAATCATAAATATTTCAAACGTGTGCAAAATTTTTAAAAACTACGCAGTCTCCGGCCATTTCAAAATTAATTATAATTTCATTGAATACCTAGAATGTAGGGGAAAATTTCAAAAATAATGAAACAGTTTCGACTTTGACTGGAAAATGCATATTTTTGATGGTGTTATTTCGTCTATTTTCGTATTGAGCGGCCCAATTAAATTATCATACACAGTTGTTCACTTGTTACGAAACAGCTGTTGTAAAGACCGTGAGAACTCCAAGGAAGAAGGTCCGCTATTTGCTATTGACGTGCCAGGTTTTGGAACAGTAATTTTTATTGTTATTTTTGGTATGTAAAGTGCTGTTCAAATGTGTAAATATACTATTATACCATTTTTTGTAATATTCACGCAAGAATTTATGTTATCTTGCTTAATTTATCTATGATATTTACACAAGTATTTAATTAGTTATTTTTGAGCTGTGAGTGTGCTACTTTTTGGAAAACCATTTTCTCACGTTTTGTGCAGTAGCCTTTTTGCTTTTGTAGGTCACTAGTTGGGTAAATATGCGTCACTCATCTGCAAAGAACGCTGATTGAGCCTTACGATGGCCCTGAATAGGATATAACCAGATAATCCCCAGATAAGCCGGAGTTTGATCCCAGAGCTCTCAAATTAGTAAGGTTGGTACTAATCACTTCGCTACGGCCAGAAAAATAAATATAATTGAGAAAAGTTTATTTTACAATTCGGTAATGACACCATTATGTGTAAGTTAGTTGATAGCTTAGAGGCGCTGTAACGTGAGTTTAGAATTTCTAAAGCTCACATAATTCCTTTAAGCAGCCAGTACCATTTATTATCTACATTATCTTTTCCGAAGACCTTTTTTAACATTTTAATGTATATTTCCACTTATTATATTCAATATTATTATATTAATTTCGGTAGTATCCTTTATTACATCCGATGTAATAGAGAGACGTTATCTACTGCAGGAAGCTGTTATATTTGGGAAATAATAACAAAGTCTGTGAAAAATATTCGAAAATTCTTGTGAAAAATTATAACATTTGAGTAAATGCCTCATTCGAAAAAACATATTTTTCTTACAAGGAAGGATGTATTGTATGTTTAAGAAAAATATTCCTCAAAGATATAATCTCATTTATGCAAGTTTCAGAAAGCGTGTAGTGAATAACTTACATAAAACTGGAAACACTCAATTCTAATTAAGAAACACTGGTGATATAACAGTCTAGACATTCTCGCGTTACTGGTAGTGATAACGTAATATCTTTCTGTAAAATAATCTTATGGCTAGAAAATACTATTTCGATTCTTGCAATAATATTAAATTACAAAAATAAAACTTTAAAAAGCACTAACCGAACAAATCATGAGAAGGTTCGTATTTTCCCCTTCCTGATCACAATACTTCTATTAGTATTTTATTAAAGCTGACTATGACTATATAAATAATGAATCATAATTATTTGAAGGGACGCATGGTCGGTGGCAGCACTACGATTAACTACATGTTCAACATTCGAGGCAACAGACGAGACTTCGACAATTGGGAAGCGATGGGCAACAAGGGTTGGAGTTACAAAGATGTCGTTCCTTACTTCAAGAAGGTCGAAGACTTGCGGATACCGGAGCTTCAGAACAGAGAAAACAGAGGATACGGGGGACGAATTAGGACTACTTATCCACCATATTTTTCAGGTAAGAATAGTGGAATTCATGAACTGAATTACCTGGGAATGCTTCAATTACAAAAAATAAATAAGGTGAATCGCGCAGTTGTAAATTAATATGAAGAATTGTCAATGATTGCGAAGTTAGAGATATTACATTTCATGATTATTTTGCTACGCTGGTCATAATTCTGGTATATTTTATTAATACAAATGATTTTCATTGCAATATTCAATATTAATATGTCAAATTATGTTTCTCCTATGATGCGTAAACGACTTCATTGCAAAGCAAAACTAAAAATTGTTTGAAACTGTCTTGGACTAATTAGCTATGGTGAGGTTGTTGCTTAAAATCATCTTTAATGGAAATCTCTATTCATCTAATTTTTTTAAAAAAACATTTGACACTAAATATGATCAGCGTTCTTCTAGCTCTTTAGGAAGACTTCAGGAGTACATACAATCAATATTAGGCCATAACCGTCAATAAATTATTTACAGTTGATATTATGTGGATCATATTTGGGAGAGATTTTCCACTCAAATTATTCCTACGTTTTTTAAAATAATACAGAATGAATTACTAAATCTATAAATTTGTTTTGGAGGTGTCTTAAATATTGGAGATCGAAAATAAATGAATTTGCAGACATGGGCAAGCTGTTCCTGAGGGGCGCTCGCGAGGCGGGCTTCCCCACGCCCGACGACTACAACGCGGGCGAGCAGCTGGGCATGCACCGCATCCAGACCACCACGTGGCACGGCGCGCGCTGGTCGGCCAACGCAGGCTACCTGCGCAAGGCGCGCCGCCGCCCCAACCTCTTCCTGCGGCCGCGCAGCTACGTCACCACGCTGGTGCTGGAGGGCGCGCGCGCGCGCGGGGTGCGCTACGTCCACGACGGCCTGGAGTACGAGGTGACGGCCACCAAGGAGGTGATTCTGTGCGCGGGCGCCGTCAACACGCCGGCCATCTTGCTGCGCTCCGGCATCGGCCCGGCCGACCACCTCAAGGAAGTGGGCGTGCCCCTGGTCAAGGTATGCAGCTAAAGACAAGACACAAAGCGCCGTACGGGTAGATCCGTACACTTAGAGACGGACATTTACAGACGACCGTTTAGAGGCGACGAGTTAGAGAGCAACGGTCAGAGACGCACGGTCAGAGTCGTGCGGTCAGAGACGCGCGCTCAGAGACGCGCGGTTAGAGTCGCGCAGTCAGAGATGCGCGGTCAGAGACGTGCGGTCAGAGACGCGCGATCAGAGACGCGCGTTTAGAGACCATTCGTCGACTAACAGTATTAAGAGCTAATTGGGAATTGAATCAAATTATGGATGGTAGGTCTTCCAAGACGATGCGATTAGAACATTTCGAAGGAGGAACGTTCGTCCACGGTCCTTTGCCAGTTGCTTTCAATCTACCAGGAAATTGTCTTGTTATATATGCCGGCTTAATTTTTATTGGCCCTTGAAACTGGGACCTCCCGATTTAAAAATCCTCAGATCCACATTTGGAACCGTATATTTTAATCTACGCCCTAGTTTAATTACTCAATACAAAGTGCAATGCGTTCATTGAGTGATAGATGCTGGCATTTAGTAGAGTAGTAGTACTCACAAATTCACGTTTTATTTACATTTAGCGGTTTATAAAGAAGCTCATATGCTATAAAAATATGATGGCTCGAAAATGTTTTCAGTAACATAGAATCTAATGTATAGCAATAATTTAAAGCATTTTAATGTAGCTGTTCCGCAAAAATCTCACAAAAGCTCCGTACGTATTTTTCAATGGACTCGTTCTCATAATCATACAGTTATATTAAACAAAATTATTCTCTAATTCACCTGCCTCGTTCCTTCTCCCTCCCCTCCTTCTCTCTTCTTCCCTCCCTCTTTCTCTCTTCCTCCCTCCTTTTTCTCTCTCCCTCCATGCCTCTTTCTCTCTTTTCCCCTCCTTCTTTATCCCTATTATTTACCTATAAATCTCTATTAAATACAACTCGGGCTTTGGAAATTATGAGATAAATCCCCTCCTTGCATGGCGAGATCTTTACCTATGATGATACGCCACAGATTCAGTTGTTTCTTTGTTTTATTAAAAGATATTTATGATTATTTAAATTTATTAGTAAGCAATTGTATATTTCATTGGATTTATTTTTATTATTAGTGTAAAAGATTTATTTGGAAATAATATTTAATGATGGGTCGTCACACAAACATTGACTCCGTCGTGTATGAGACGTATACATACCGTGTGCTCACCACGTAGGTTCAACTTGACTTATACAGTACGTCGCCTATTTGGTACCTACCGGACGCGAAGTGCCGTATTGCATATCAATCAGTACATGCTTGTAACATTCACGGAATAATGAAGAGACTATTTTTCAGTGGGTCGCAATTAGAACATTAAAGTATTGTTGTTCTTAACCCCGGGAGCGAAATAACATTTTTAACGATTTTTATTACGAAGAGGATAGCATACCATTCTGTATAAAATAGTGTTCTCAGAAATATTATTAAAATGCGACAATTTTCAATGCTCATTGTATTTTATAGATATTAATTTCATCGGACACGTAGCACTTTTCGTATACTCCTTGCTGCCAAGAATATCTACAGATCACAATAATTTTAACCATTACTCCAATAACCATTACTCTCGGACGAGGTGTGAACTTAACCCATAACTACAGACTCCTCTTGAAGATTCGAAAACATGATGCCCATTGTACTTTCATATATGTGTACGTATATACGATATATGGAGTAATATATGTAGTATAGGGAAAGTTATGTAATGTTGGGGAAAATAGATTTCATGATATCAACGGAAATACACCCAGATTGGAAATACACCCCATATACCGAAAAAGTGTTTGGTTTGTTTGTTTGTTTGTTTTCAAAAAGTCCGTCGGCTTGTCCGACTATCCGTCCGTCCAGATTTTACTGTTCTTTATATCCATAAAAATATTTTCTTTCTACTCTTACGAAACTGAAAAGTTAAGAAAGTGTTAAAAAGTACTTTGAGCGGAGATAGGTGGCAGCTGCCATGAATATCTGGCAAGTTCGTGTATCAAGCCGACACCAAAAGAAATAGAAAACTAATACAGGAAAGTCTATGTCATTCTGTAGCACCACAAGTTTAAATTATGGGTAATGAAATTTTTGTTATTCATTTCATTTTTATATTTAGCCATTATCAATCCGGTAAAAAGAAATTGGCCTCTTAATACATAGTAGTAAATTTTTTAAATCCTATGTTCAAAAATTAATTTTATTTCTGAATGACATTTTACAGATATAACATAGTTTAAACAAGAATTGTCTTTTTAAACATAAATGTTATATATTCCTGTCAACATACGTGTACATTGTGTTGGACATTTACGGATATGAAGCACTTTCACCACATGAAATATTTTATTATTTTATTGAATAATAGGAGACATTTCTTTTAAAGCGAAATACTTTAAGAAAATGAGAAATTTTATAGAGCCGTGTTCGTGGTTCCATTGTTTTATTTTTCAATGTTGTCATTGCGAAAAATCTCGTAAACATGAAAAATAGGCATATAATGATTATTAGATATGAAGGAATCTGGTTGTTCTTTCTTATTTCTTAAATAAGGTTTACATAAGTGCGCGTGTCTCATAAACGACTATGGTTGTTTCGCTTTTATTATGATTTAAGCGTTACTAACAGTAGCTTACTACAAAATAATAGTTACAAACAGTAGCAAGTTTTTGTCTTTAACACACATCAATCTCCGAAAGTGTTGATAGCAAGCATATAGGCACTGTTTTTAGGGCTTATCGAACTATTTTTTATGATCTTAACAAGGAAATCTTCTAATTATTACATGATTTCCAGGATCTCCCGGTGGGGCTGAATCTGATGGATCACACAGCTGTCATTGCCACTATTGGCGTGCTCAACGAAACCGTCGCGCCGTCCATTCCAGAGATCATGCTCAACCCGAGCACGCAAATGGACTACTTCACGCGTCGGGCAGGGCCCCTCACGTCAACAGGGACCTTCGAGACCATCTCCTTCCACGACCTCAAAGGCACTCCCCACTACAGCCCCGGGTGGCCCGAAGTCGAGATGTTGCACAGCTCCATCAACGCCGCCATCAATTCGCGATTCGCCGCTCTTTTCCGCATCACCCGACAGATGTACGACGTGATACTAAAGCCGGTCGAGAACAAGCCGGTGTTCATTTCGTGCATATGGCGGTTGCGACCGAAGAGCCGCGGGAAAGTCTACCTGCTGAACAAAGACCCCATGACGCCACCGGAAATCGACCCGAGAGCCTTCTCGCACCCGGAAGATGTAGACGTGGTCCTCGCGGCCATCCGCGAATGGCAGAAGATCGTCGCCTCTCCCAGTTTCCAACGATATGGAGCACGGGTTGTTGGTCCCGTAGGGGATATTCCTGGCTGTGGAAAGGTAGTTTTCGCCACGGACGATTACTGGCGATGCGCTATTCGCGTAGCGTCTGCCACGCTCTACCACCCGTGCGGTACATGCAAGATGGCCCCGCCAGGTGACCCCACGGGCGTGGTGACTCCTGACCTCAAGGTTGTAGGAATAAAGAATCTGCGTGTAGTGGATGCGTCGATAACACCATTAGTTGTCTCCGGCCATTTGCAAATGACGTCGTACATGATAGGGGAGAAAATGGCGGACGAAATCAAAAAGGAATATGGACAAGCGAAGTAACTCGTGCTTTAGTTTGGCTCGGAATAAAATGAACACGTTTTGAAATGAAATGATTGGCATGGGGCAGTCATTAGATTAGTCATATTTCGCCCAAAGTCGCGATATTAACATGTTCGTATAGCGCGAGGCTCTCTGTGACCAGTGTGTTTTATCTTGTTTTTGCCCGAAGCCTGTTAATCCCGACTCTTGCAAAGGCGTAGTTACTCATTTCCGTTTTGCAGATTCTAGTTCAGTCGTGTACAAAATGCGGACACAACAAATACGAATTCTATCTAAAATTAAACGAATATTATTAAAATAACGTTGAGATACCAATTAATATACATGATTTAATTGAACACATGTAGAAAACCAATAATATTTTGTAAAATACATTTGGTATTTGTATTTCCACACTTCAAATTTAAATTTAAATATAAAATATTTTGTTCTAAAAATATGAAATAATACTGTATTTATTGAAAGTTCTAGAGATCTCTCAGAAAATTGTTGTTAAATAATAATAGCATTTTTATGACCCAAATGTATCATTGTGAGTTCGCTGTAAACTGCAAGAACCATTGTTGTTGTTTTTGCAATTATTATTATTATTATTATTATTATTATTATTATTATTATTATTTATACCAGTTTTTTAGTTTATTATCCTTGTATATTACAGATTTCCTGCACTTTTGCTACTTTTATATTCGTGTAAATAAAATATGTAATAATGATAAAAAGATGTTACATACCTCTTTGAGCAATTTTGCTACTTCAAAAACTTGTACCGCTTTGACGTTTATCCAACGCAATTGCAACACTGATCTAAATTTTATTTTATTAAATGGATAAAAAAGTTGAATTTCTACTCACTACCTTTCAGGAAGGACACGATCATTGTAAAATTGAGCACCAATCCGAACAACTGCGTAGTTATATGCGGCTCGTACCTGTAACATAGGAAACAGTAATATGAGTTATGCATCTGAGGCACTTGCAGACAATAACCTCTCTTTTTCATAAAGAAAAGTAATTGTGGTGCATAAACAATAGAAAAGCTAAGGAGAGTGCGAATATTAAATAATCACAAAACAAATAAAAGGTAAGAGAAAACAATCTCCTTCGTGAAGAAACCCGCATTCCGCGACTTTCACTTTCTCGGTTTAGGTCGTAGCGAGCATTGGGTGCGCATTACATCATAGCTTTCTTGGAGCGCCTTCCACAAGACGTGACCGCTCTCTGCCGGCAACAGTTGGCCTTTTTTTCTGCGCACGCGGTAGGATGACTTTCAGGCAAACACAACTTTGCAACTGCCTCACGAGCTCAAACAACCCTCGTCCCGCGCCCCACAACACGGGCTTAGCGCACGGATAGGTCACATTCCTAGCGTCCTTGAGTTATGTAAGTTTGGCTGGCAGGATCTTCGAAGTAACTGAGACACTGACTTTTCCCAAGAAGTAAATTTATTTCACAGTTCAGTACATTTGGTTGTGTAGGGATGGCCGCTGCTGTTGTACTAGCGGGCGGACATGACTCTTGCACCGCCCCCGTGCCCTTCCAACTACGCACTCAACCTGAGGCGCCCACCCCACCCCGCCCACCCCCTCCATCTTGAATGGGCCCCTTAATTCCGGTCCGCTTCGCCACACTCCACCCTGCCCACTCCGTCAACCTGACGCACCCAGCCCACCCCCTCAATCTTCAATGGCCTCCGCATCCCGGTCCGCTTCGCCACACTCCACCCTGCCCACTCCATCCCCCTCCGTACCGCCCCGTGCCAACCTGACCTACACCCCTCCAGCGCAGACTCGTTCCTACCGCCTCGAGCTGTCTCCGCCGTTATTCCCCGTCCCGCCGGATCATCCGTCGGGATCATCATTCCCGCCGGATCATCATTCCGTCGCGCCTTGCCCTCCCGCACCTGTGCGTTCCCCGCCCGCTCCGCTCCCTCTGCACACTCGCCCCGCACTGCTCCTGTCTCATGAGCCCAGTATTGAATTCAATGGATAAAGGATGATTGGTTTTAAGAGTCAGATACTATATGATATATAGATATATTATATTCTTCATTTATGAAACTCTTACAAACCTTCCAAAATAAAATGCTTCGTACAATTGTCAATGTCCAGTGCGATATAACCAATAGACAACTACATAGAAAAGTAGACATAGATCCAATTACAAATTACATTTCCTTACTATCATCCAAATTCTTTTCCAGCCTCTAAACGTCCCCTTGCACAAGCCACTTTATCCTCGGGAAAATCAACATTGCTCCTACAAGAATTAAATCTCGTCCCCCCAAAAGATCTGTGCCGTTCCCCATAAACTAGAGAAGTGTTTGTGCCACTTCTCTCTCTGTATCTTGCTTACTTTCCAGTTACATTCAATTTCACAAAATTAACAATCATCGGATCCAGTAGGGATAACCTTGATTAGAAGTAGGGATATGATAGTGCGCCTTGGTCACACGTAATTTACAGTTACTTGTAACTACGAGCCATTCTTCATTTTAATTAAAGCGAATACTCACCAGTAAACTGGTAATTCAACTGATCTGGTTAAATGTTAAAAAAATGATATTACATGAGCGTTGACACATTCCATTGAACCAACCTGAACTAATGTTTATTTGTAATTAAAATAATAATAATAATAATAATAATAATAATAATAATAATGGTACAAATACAGTATCATTATTATTATTATTAATGTATTATTAATGTATTAGAATTCAGATTTGTGAGTCATCAAATAGACTGGGCTTGCTTTTATCACAGAGTACTAAAACTTCTGCTCTAGAAACGCCTTGTTCTGCCCCCAAGAAAACTTAATTTAACTTAGTTGTCAATTATTCCACAAAACTTGCAGATATCTTACATACAATTATTGCTAACAATTGGCCATACATTTTTTAAATGCTACTTTTAAGAAAGTGGGTTTCTAAATTTATTAGAACATTTTCTATGTAAATATAATATACTTGCAAAAAAATGTCAGATAATAATGTAAATGCAGGAAAATTATATTTCAATATACCCAAAAACCCCAAGTAAAAAATTAAGACAAGAATAATAGAAGATTGGACACAGTATTTTAGAACATAGAAACCCGACTGCTAGTTAAATGATGAGCGACACAATGTATCTTCAAGGACTACGCGAAATACGAATTTGAAAATAAGCAGCAGAAAATGTGAGACATGTCAACTATTACTCGTAAGTTTTAAGTTCAGTTGTGGTAAATATTGCTGACTTGGAAAAAAAAAGAAAACGAAAGAACATCTGGAAATTAGAAAAGAGGCACGACTGTTAGGCAGGAGGAAAAGATTGATCACATGAATGATCAAAAGAAACAGAAAGCAGGAGCAGAAAGCAGGAAACGCAAAGAGAAAAAATGAAGAGAAATATAGACAGGATATAAAATGAGGCAAGTCCATTTTAGCTGGCATTTAATTGTTTCATTGTATCTGCTGTAAAGAAAGAACTTCTCTTGGTAAGGCATGGGAACAAAATTCCAACCGTTCTAATGATCTCAAATGCAATAACTACTCTAAATGAAACATACCAGAAATTAGATTACATGCGTCAACTTCAAACTTCACTATGCGCACGTTTTGTTGAGCTCTCCGTTTGTTTGAAGTAGTAGCACTAGAGCCGGGGTGTGTTACTATTTTGTTAGCAATGTAAAACAATAAAATCTGCATATCGTTTGTCAATGCAAATAAGTTTTCTATAACTCGGGAACCAAAATATCTATATTTTCTATATGTTGATAATTTTTTATAATTGTATTACTAACATTATTATTGTTTATTTTATTTTTAAATGTTTCATCCATATTGAACTACTTAGAATTGAAATGTTAGGAGGGGTTTCTAAAGCTCATAAAAATATGCGCAGATGGTACTTTTCCCCTTACGTCAGATTCAGTATATTTACTGATCCTTGTCTAAATAAATGAAAATCACACTTGCCATAAGATGATAAAGAGAGGGAAATAGAAAAAAAAACAATCAGTTCGGTTAATGCCTTTACTCCGTGCATAGAATAAGATTTCACCATACGCCTTTCTGTAATCACTCTGGATTCTCAAATGGCTCATGTGTGGGCTGAAAATTAATTGGCTCTGATCTAGTTAAAAAGGTTCGTCACTAAATGGCAGTTTTCAGGAGGCGCTCCTCCTTGCGTGTCACAGAGCTGCTTTAATAATGTTTTCTTGTCTTACCCTAGGACCGCTGTGAGTTATGGGCGACTACCACAATATAGGAGCACATGCAATGTGTTCCTCCTCGGAGCAATTTGTCGTGCCAAATTAAAACGCGTTTAGTTTAAAATTACATCAATGTCAATTGGAATGACGAGTAAGATGACTATATTTTGAAAACACAAAAACGCGACGTATTAGTTTTAGATACCATGAGAAAGGGGCAAACCACTATTTCATCACAAATATTTATGTTTGGATATTAAATAAATAAATAGTATAACTTTTGTCATACAGAGGAATTCAATTGACGGCAAACAAATAATCATTCACAAAGACACATTAAAAATACGCATTAGTTTCATTTGCACGTCCATTCATTATGTAATAGGTAGGAATTTCTCAATTAAGAGAGTTTCGTAGAAACTCTCAATAGCCGAAGGATAGGATTATTGAATTTATCGATAAATATGTCGATAGCGTTAAATCATATACAAGTACACTCAAGCTGCATTTTGAATTGAATTGAATTGGCCCTATTTTACGTGGCGAGACTCGGGCCATCAGGCCCGCTCTTCCGTCTGACCACGCAAATTTCGCTACGCTCCTTTCATCAACTAGCAGAGAAAGGAGGTATTTCTTGGGCGAGAAACAGGCGATTTGAATTTAGCTCAGTGGCGTCATTTAGGCTTGAGGATCTTTTACATGCAAGTAAATCTACGAACAAAACTGGGCTACTACGAACAGGGCTAAACTCAGATGGTGGGAGAACACGGAAGAAGAGGAGAAGGCACAGGACGGTAGCAGTAAACTCTTTGGTCTGAAGCGGAGAGGACGAGATAGATTGTAGCAATGAGGGATGCGGATATGTTGCATGGTTTGTACGGGGTAGGGGCAGGACAGGCTGAGGCAGCAAAACTCACGGGGTTTTACATGCAGTACCCTCTTTAAAAATCTTTTATTGCGTATCTGGTAATTGCGCACGGTGATTCTGTAGAAAACGATAACGCTCGTCAAATATAGAGAGGAACTTTAAATGTATTACGATTGACAAATGCTTAATACTTTATTCCTACTCCAGACATTCTAAGTAGTAAGTTTCATTTTCTTTTGATGATTGGGATTTACATCCAAACGGCAATTTTTCATCATTTTTTCATCGTTTTTCTGCACAGAAAGTGGATGGGAAAACACGTTCGTTTCTACTGAAGTGAATGGGAAAAGAACGAATGTTTCAGGACAAAAACTGGATGAAAGTGATTCCAGTGTTTTACACTGTCATTTCTGGTCTGTGTATGTAGTCGTGATGAAAATACTTCCTCTGGACGCCGCAAAAAGCGCTCAAGATCAAACATTTGAACATCGCATCTGTTGTAACAAATTAAGTTAGGTTATATTGGGACTGAGCACGGAACGCGACGACATTATAACACAGTACATAATTTATTTTTCTCTATATAATCATTACACATTACAATTCAACACATCAGAACGCTCTCAGAACTGTATAAAATGATCAAATCTCGCCAGAAGCACTACAAACCAGAGAAAGTTCGGAAAAGTAACGCCAAGAGCGCGGTAATGTAACTGGATGAAATCTGTACCGAAGAATGAAGCATGCGTCATTTTTTCGTACAAATTACATTCAGTGTGACCTGTCTCTTTTCTGAATCGGCAAAAATTTATGAAAAAAAGATCGTGTAAAACAGGGTGTTTAATAGTGGCGCAGTGCGTGGGTGCCGCTTAACCGCTGTATTGATGGATTTGAGTTACAGGCGCATCAAAACACAACTGTCAGCACAAGAGCAACTGATTCCTTAGAACAGACGAATAGATGTTCCTGGGTCGATAAATTGATCACAACATATCTGAACCCGATATCGTGCCACGATTCGTACGGCTTGGCTTAATTAGACGGACGATTTGTAGGAACAAAGTTTTATATTTTTCTCTATCTTGCATATGATAAAAGCAACAAACTAAGTTCAGAAGAGACCAAAATACATTTTATAGGAGAAGAGATTTAATTTTGAAATGGCAATTTGTTTTCTTTGATATTCAAAGATAACGAAAATATCAAACAGTGGTTGTTCCAGAACTACTATATTCATACTTTCATTTCAATATTGCCTTATTTTGTCTTGAAAAATATATTTTTATCAGGAGCTGCAGTCTTTGTTCTGCCTGTAGTTGACGAAAGATAAAGAATATACCATATATGCTGTTCTTATTATTATGAACAAATTTACATTTACAATTTATTTCAATTTGACTGACCACAATTAAATGAACTGAATTCAATATTTTGTTTTTCTGTACAGCAAAGTGTACATTTTCTTGCACACCACATTTTGAATTTTTAAAACATTTTCTGATACCACTTATTAAGATTATTTCACAATAACATCTCCTGGCACGATGTTTATTTGTATGTATTGCTTTGCCTTGCCTGTGTGTCCTGTTGGCAGTATCTCGAATCGTGCCGACAGGGCGAGGTCACGTTGTTCGTGCGATTTTTCCAAACAAGTCCCTCTCATCCTATCCACGCATCTACTTTCGCTTGCACAACTTGTGACCATCAGTCAGAGAATCGTGCAATCTCATACAAAAATCTGTCAAGGCCAATGTCGGATTTGCATTTGCACTCAGTATGAGAATTGTTTTCTTTGCTCGTACATTGCCGTTCGAGGAAACAGCTCGCAATACGTTTCACGAATTTGCCCGGAAGATGCATCCAACGCATTAGCATTACTTTTTTATTTTTTTAAAGATACAAAAGCTGTCATTTCAAGAATTAATTCTCTTGATAAACGCTCATTTTTGTTTCACTAACCTTAACATTTTTAATATCGCTTTACAACTCCATGATCATATGACGATGAAACATAAAAACAAATCCGACATGAATAATCTGCAATGCATTTTTAGAGACTCATTGACTTCCTCTACCTTGTTGTTCATTATCAATGGCTGCAAAACCTCAGCGCTCATTGAAACATGTTCATCACTACCTTCATCCTTACCACTTCGTCGGTTCAGATTTTCCTAAACATAACTATATTTAGTCACACCATCAAGAGTTGCTCGTAACAAGTATTTTAACTTTTTCTCATGCCTTTATTATTTTTCTAGAGTCTCTTTGTAATTTCATAGGTAATTATTTCTCTTCCTATCCTCAGTACCCCCATTATTTTTGCGTCTCATGCATGTTCTCCGTCTTCTCGTTTTTTCAACTAGTTCCTACTATTTCTTTGCAACTATTTATTTCAAAACGAGTCTCTGACTCCACCCAGACAGTTCTATTTGCACTATAACTCTTCATTACCGCCACCAATTCTGTCGTCTCGTTGGCACATAACGTACTCCAAAATCTCATAGAGAATCCACTTGCCATTGTTCTCATCTCCATTGCGATATCCGCTACCGTTGACACTGTTGCAGCCACGTTGCCAGAATTGCCAGTTCCTTTGATATGTTCGTTGCATCTAGGGAGTCACACTTGTATATCATTATATTATTTTGCATCTAGTACCACAACTTACTTTCTACCCCCTCTTGCCCACACCGCGACCTACGTCTACTTTCTCGCCGTAGTTGCAACCACAATCACGCTCAACACCCGCTCATTGTCACCACAACCCACTCACATCGTCACCGCAACCCCCACACATCCCCTCGCCATCCCTATCTCCCGCTCTTGCTTTTGATTTATCTCCCCGCAATATTCGCAGTACCGATATATACGTTTGTCAGTCGCCGCGATACGTTCCCTCTTTTTACCGTCATGATAAAATATCAGACTGTCGCGGAATTTTTTCGCGTCTCTGCCTCGCGCGGAGCGTGTATCACGTATCTCATACTGCGTCTCCCAGCCAGCGAGATTGGTAGAGACGGGGTGCTCGTAAAGACGGGGACGCTACTGCCGCCGCCGCCGCCGCCGCCGCCGCCTTCTACAAAGGGGTGCAAAGCAAATCGGAGAACGAGCAAAACACGCACGACGTCCCTGCAGCAGCCGTCTCGCAGATCTCTTTGAGAATTGAAATAAAAAAAGGAAAGAAAAACGCGAATTACGCGTTTACGTGCTGTACGAATTACAAATTGCCAGCGTTTATTCCCTTTGAGAAAAACAACGTATCAAAGGAGACATTCGCGAATCGAAAGAAGCTTCTCGATGACATTATCGAAGCAATAAAAAACGCAGAGTAACACGTAATCTGTTTATGTGAATATAAAAATAAATTTCCTTACGGCAGCTAAAGTCACCTTATCGAACTTTCGTACCGTTACCTCGTGAGCATAAGGAAAAAAATAAAGTTGAATGTGGCATAACGTGCCCTTGTTGTGATATATTTTTCATAGTTGCGGCCCTAACGGCGTGTGAGTACTCCGAAGAATGATGAGGTGTATCGTGGTAGACTCGTGACCCGTTTTCACGCCATATAACAGGAAAAGGTCGAAATGGGAAGGAGGCTTGTGACGCAACAACGCAAGGAAATTCACCGACAAAATATGACTGTTCTTTTATGACACCATTATCCTATTTTTGTTGTCTAAGAGTGGAAATGATGGGCTGGTTATGTAAGTGTGAGCAGCCTAAAACAAGAGTAGAGGCCATCTACATTTCAGTTCCATCCTTTTCTATAAACTTTTTCATTTACTTACTGCATTTTACTAGAAAATGAATCAAACATTCTACAAAGATAATTGATTTATAACTTTAATGATACAATTAGCAAATACAATTGATTTTATATTGAACTATTTACAGGGTTGCCAGATGGCTCGGAGAGTACCAAAGGTGTAACAATTCTCAAAATTCTCAGGTTAAAAAGAGGGAAATAAGGGATTAGATAAATTTATGGAAATAAAATGATTTATTACATACGGCAGCTGTTCCCTATTCCAAATTTTGAAGGAGTCTCTAATTCAAATTTACAACTACACGGTGGAAAAAGTAAAAATTAGTCATAAACTCTTTGAACAATAAGATGGAAGAAAAGGGAAGAAAAGAGTCTCACAGAAATCCAACCATTAGGTTTCCGAAATAGATTTTACAATTAGGCTATCAAGTTATACTTTAATTTCCTTAGATTTGTCATCCTGATAACACTTCTAGGAATTTAAGTTAATAGGTTTCAAAAAATATTCAAGAAGATCATCAATCACATGTCTATTCTGCACCAATTTGTAATACTAGCCAACAAATGTACTTATTTCTTTTTTGTATGAGCAGACTTGTAAATATTCATATCAATATGTAAGAATTATAATAAGAATGAATATAATACGTAAAATGAAATGTGTTAAAAATAAAATTGATATGTATTTTACTAACTTAAAGCATCGTAATTAAACAGCAATTCATTAGTGAGGTCCTGTAAACATGTTGAACAAACAACTGTACTAATTAGATTCGCTGCTGCAAAACAAGAGAGAATGCAATACAGGTTGTTATGTATACTCAAAATTCATTTGTAACTAATAATTTTAAAATGATATTCCAATTGCGTTACTACACAGAGAAAATTAATCCCATAAAAAAACCATTGGCTAGATTGAGAAAAGATATCAACAATAATTTAAAACATAAATTTTCCCTATCATATAGTTCAATACTTTCCTATAAAATTAATGTACAATACACGTATTTTAGATACCAGTCGTAGACTGCATATGAACTGAGATATTTCCGTGTAGCATTTTATTTCTTTACATATTATTTACTTGGGACGTCTAAACAAATGTAGGTATGTTGGTAATTCAAGAATATAATTTTCAAATTGTTAAATGTTAATGTACTATTTGCTATTTACTAAAAACACGACATAATTCCATATTTCCAAGGATATCACTCTATATTAGTCTATACAATATTACAAATACCTATAGTCATAGGTTATTTGTAATATAATTCTTAATAGACACTAGATACCACACAAATTTGAGAAGAGTGTTTATCACACATGGTGATCTTTCAAGGTTTGTTACCTTCAGGGTCGCCTCCTCGACTGCTAAGATTGTCGATCATTTTGTGAACGTTCATGCCCAGTACGTCTTTCTCTTGATTCCAAATTTCTATTTCTTTCACGTGATCACTTTCCTGCCAATGTTCATCTGCGTATTCTAAAAAATACAAAAGTTTTAAACTTGTCGAGAAACGTCTTTGTTCTTAAATCAGAGGGTATTTTTTTCTCGTGGTCATAAATATTCTCAGTACCAAGGTGGCAATTTTGCGTGGGGTTTGAGAGTTCGAGTTGCCAGCAGTTGAATGCCTGTAGCAAAACCAGGTAAAAAGAGGAGAAAAAAAACTATAGCTGCGGGAATGGGACACTGAGAATGCAAGGGCCAGGGACATCTCTCAAATTGCTGTAGCATGCACAGAACAAGGTAATTGGCCTTAAAACTAAAAGGAAAAAAAATGGAAAAAGAAATAAAGCTTCGAAGCCGTGAAGGCACAGAACAACAATATGGAACAAACGAAAGCAGTATTTTGAGGCATGCAAGGCGAGTGAATTTTGCCCTACAAATATTTAAATATAAAACGTAAAAATGATGTTACTAAGATTCGAGATTATTTTTCACCAATCCATATGGTAGAAGACCGTATCCTTCACACCAATACGAAATATACACGAGAGAATGAGTGATACTTGCGTGTTACCACGTCTTTGGTCCCTTGAATGTAATGAATGTGCATGGATTTTTTAAACTATATACGCCATTGCGCACATGTATACTGTCGTTATTCGAGTTCTGGCAGAGCTTTCCCCCTTCGGGTCTTGCCCCGGCGTGCAGGATCGCTCGAAAGTGGCTACTTTGACGAGTCGGCCCGGTTGCATAGGGGCCGACATGGTGAAAATCGGCCTAAGTCGCTGTCCTTTTCCGTTTCTTCAGAGGTAAACAATACATTTGTTGTCAATAGAGATCTTTTTGCATCACTCGACAGCAATATATAGCATCTTTTCTCGCGGAGTACGAGATGCGCATGAGCAGATGTTCAATTGCGACGAGGAGTGATCCATGTTGGGTACGACAAGCAGGTCCCAAGACACGGGGGAGCATCAGGCTCATCACCAGGCCTTTGAATCTCAAGAGGAGTTCGAGGGTTCAAAGAAACTCTATATTTTTGCATTATTCAGCCTCTCAGATTACTTGATTTAATTTGAATATTCATTTAATTTTTAGGTATCGTTTCTTTTTTCAAATTTCCAAGCAAATTATTTTCAAAATTAAGATATCAAGTGCCGGTCACATTATGACGTTATTGTGTGAGGCACTGTGAATGTGGGAAAGTGGCAGTTTTGAACATTCGAGATCAGGAGGATATATACGAGATGGGTGGATATTAGAGTATGTAGGTCTAAATCAATGTAATCGATAGTAAGGAATATCAATTCACACACCCACAAGTCTACAGCTACAGGCGCCCACATATTTCATTCTTTGTAAATAGGCCAGAACATTTCCTTTTGGCGGCCCAGACTATAAGCAGCCGGAGCCGTTTTCTTCCCAGAGAGACGGAGCAAAAGGGAAACGACACACGCGTCGACAGCGACACAAGAGAGCGCGCGTGCGCCAGACGGCGCCAGCGTCGCCTACCCCGCCCTCAGGGACGGCACGAGGCGTGCGCATCTATTGGAGCGAACTTCCTTCGGCGCGGCGGCCTGCTCCCCCCAACTCCCCCACCTCACCCCACCCCACC